CTGTGTGCAGTTTTTTTTTTTTTTTTTTTTTTGAGAGGTTTTTGCTATTGGACGCGTGCCCTCACCAGAAAGACAGAGAGACAGAGAGACAGAAAGCGAGAAATTGCCCCCCCCAGGGGGATGGCCATGCCGCAATCCCTTCTCCTCCATTCTCCTCTCGGGATCTTGGGCACGCACGCACACGCGCCCGGCGTGAGTTTAAGCCATCGAGTCCGGGACTAGAACCACGGTTGACCACATGGGAATCCAGCAATAACTGCTGGTCCCCAGAATTCATTTGGACACTGAAGTGTGGGGATATATACAGAGCCACAAGAACATCCAGTGGCAGAGGCTGGCCGCTGACATTCGTCAGTGGGACCATGTCCTTCCAGAGGCTAAGACCTTTATAAAACTACCATTACTCATAGCAGGGACAATCGGAAACAGCCTAGGTGTCCACGGATGGGGCGGGATCAGTCTCAGGTGTGTCCTAGTGCTGCGTCAGTTTGGACTTGGAAGTGTGATGCTGTGAGATGGGGTGTGGGAGGAGTGGGAATTCGTCTTCATGAGACTCTTGTACCATAAGCATTTGGTACCATGTTCAAAATGAATACGCTCTGTTTCCTGACAAGGTCTCACCGTGTCACAACCCTCTTGAGGAACTTCGAGTGCAGAACTAAGCCACCTTTTAAGGTAGTCACAGAATCTCACCCTGGCCCCCATGTTGACCTTGGCTGGCCTCCCGGCAGTGTCAGCCAGCTCTGACGACCTGGCTGAGCCTAAATTAGAAAAAAATTGTTTTAAAATAATGGAACCAACAATTAGCGTAATGGCTAAGTCGCTGGACTCCCATGTAGTTGACCGTGGTCCAAGTACCGGACCCGGTGGCTTAAACTCACGCCAGGCACATGTGCGTGTGTGCCCAAGGTCCCAAGAGGAGAATGGAGAAGGGATTGCGGTGTGGCTATCCCCGCTGGGGGGTGATTTCTTGCTTTCTGTCTCTCTCTGTCTTTCTGGTGAGAGCATGCGTCCTATACCAAAAACCTCACCAAAAAAAAAAAGTTTTATTTTAATTTGACCAGAGAGGGACAGAGTAATAGAGAAAGAGAAAATGAGAAAGCAAGCTGCCAGGTCCAGGAGTCCAGCGCCCTTAACCACCATGCCACCTGCCAGTCTGAGCCTAAAGAAATTTTTTAAATGAAAAAGCATTTGGGGGCCAGGAAGTGGTGTGGTGATTGAGGCACTGGATTCCCACAAGGCCGACACGGTTCGAGTCCCAGATCTGGCAGCTTTCTCTCTCTCTCTGGTCATATTGAAGAATAATAGTAAATAAATAAAATGCTTTTAAAATAATGAAAAACATTTGGCCGTGGAAAAATATTTAATGCCACGGATAAAGGTTTAAAATACGTTGTTATGTAACAAAAGGTCATTTGTGAAATGGCCTCTCATTTTATATCTGCATCGCAAAAAACATGGCCGGGAATAAATTTCACTCTTTTCACGGAACTCTCCGAGATTTTGGAATTAAGCACCCTGAGTTTGTTTGTTTTCCCCAGCCACTGGAATGAAAGTTTTTTTAAAAAGAAAAACTACAAGTCCCAGCAGACGTCGTGCCTGCAACTTCTGAAGACAAGCCTTCCCTTGGTGCAATGAACGCTGGGGTTCGTAGTACAGTGGCAAGAGCCAGCGGGTGCGCGCACTACCGGCACAGATGACAG